TGACAATATTTGTGCTTTTTTAGCCATGTAGTAAAAATAGTACTATTATTTTCAGTGTACAAGGTGAGAGTCAAGAAGAAGTTCAGCTCCTACTTTATTTTGTAACAGGCAGCTCTATTTGTTTATATAGGCCTACTGGAATATTCATTATTTAAGTTAAAACAAGACACTTCTTGAATGCTTTATATATTATAAAGAAGCACAGTACATAATTCTTTGTAAATTACTTTATAGGCCTATATAATAGCTTGTTTTGTTTTATAATAATAAAAGTGTTGAGTATATTGATATTGATTATGCGATGAGGGTTTTTTTTTGTCTTTCGGTGTGATTTAAACATGCTAATTCTCAGAAAATATTTTCCAATTTTATTATATTACCACCTTTTATTACATAGATATTTTTCAAAACATAACTGCTTTTATAGCATTACATAGACCCATTAAACACAAAAACTCCTATGGCTACAGGGGCTTCGCCCCCCCCCCACCGGGGCACTTAGGCAGTCCCCTGGCCCCCACGCCCAGAGAACCCCCTTGAAATGACCTGGCTACGGGCCTGCAAAGTAAAGAGGGGGGTTTCTTTTCAAAAAGAATGCTGTAAATTTTGTGAATCTGTACACTTAAACAATAAATAAGGTCAATGTTACATCAATCTGTATTATGGGTGTATTTAACTGGTATTAAATCACCTGAACTAAAGTATAAACCAAGCTGGTATTTAATTTATTTTGTTTTCTGAAATTCATGTACAGTGTATACTGTACCCCACCAAAAATAATTCCGGGATCCCGACGGGATGGCCGTGTCCCGGCGGGATGCGGCCATCCCGGTGGGATCCCGCCGGGATTTTTTCCGCAATTCCGGGATGAGCGGGATTTTTTTTCAAAATTTCGGGATGTCCGGGATTTTTTTTTTTAAATCGGGATTCTATCGGGATGTTTCAGAATTTCGGGATCCCGCCGGGATGGAAATATCCCGTCGGGATCCCGCCGGGATGGACAGACATTGCATCCCGGTGGGATTTTGTTTTTGTCGCGCAACAGGCCTATGTGTGATTTTTATAGAATGTGTACGCTTAGGCCTAATCATAAACAATGGAATAACATTATTATTTATCTTATAAGAGCTAGCATTTAAATCTACCAATGGATAAAACGCGTTTATAGAACTCCCATTGTTCAATACGGCTACACCCATCGCTTAACAATGGAATCAACTCTTCAATACAAGTCATTACTTGGCCGTATTATTCGTTCTTAGCACCTATTGTTTACCTCTGAATAGGCCCATCTTCTCTGATTCATTATAACATAATTTTAACGCCAAAAGATTCTTTTGCACTTCTTGTAGAAACCTCCGCTGGCCACATTTTAGAAATACTATGTCATCTGTAGTAGCAGAACAGCAATGAGAAAATTTCCCACGACAAATTCCCATCTAGTGCACTGAACTACTTCCCTACATTCTTAACTTTACATGCGCGCGAGTCGGAACGTATACCGGTACGGCATCTTTGATTAGGGCAATATCCCAGACTGGTGTTCTCATATGAGGTCGATCACTTAAATGGCATCCCTGGAAGGTGGCATGCTTTACGGTATATTTAGTGCTTTAGTGCAGAGAGAAAAATCACATTTCGTTGGGGAGAAAAAAATGTATTTTCGACATACTGTATTTATCATTAGTAGATTCTATATATATAAAATCGATTAAATAATCTTATGGACTTTTTCTCGTCTGGTACATCGGTCCCTCTCTCGGGGAATCACCACCCATAAGAGTTTATCTTTCCTGATTCATTATATCTGATCTGATATTCACTTGATCTGATTTCTTTTTTCTATTTATATATTTATTTTTATTCCTGGTGTTTTGCTAATTTATATTTATTTATACTTTTAAATGTTTAAATACAAATTGTATTAATTCGATCCTTTCATGATGGGAACCACTTGATAGTAGATTTAGTTCGCTTTTTGGTTTCCTCTCCTCTGTTGTCCTGCCGTCCTTTTAAATTGTACTTGTATATTTTTGTATTTGTTGAGAAAAATAAATGAAACATACACATTAATTTTATTTGAAGAAAAGCAGACGTCAATAATTAGTTTTTTACACTTTTTTTAGACACCTCCGTATTCAATTCAATTCAATTCAATTTATTATATCATCTGCAACGCATACATTACATCACATAGAAAATATTGTGGCTCTTTTTAACCTGGACCAACGTCCAATTCGGCAAACAATGAACAAATGGAAAAACAGTGAATTATCAGAGCAACGGACACAATGAAATGCTATTGTATTGCATTGAGGGCCCGGATGGCTGACGCAAAGAAACTCTTTTGGAACCTGCTCGTTCGAGCATAAATTGACCGATATCTTCTCCCACTGGGGAGCAATTCAAAGAGAGAGTTACCAGGGTGTGTTGGATCTTCAATTATACATTTTATTTTTTTAAGCATTCTGGCATTAAATATGTCCTCAATATCATCCTCATTGTGACCGAGAGGCATATTTAACAATATGTCGGAGGTCATTTCGGTCAGCCTCGGTGGTGCCACAATACCAAACAGCAATGGAATATAAAAGAACGCTCTCAATAACGGACTTGTAAAAAATAGACATAGTATTTCTACAGACCCCGAAAGACTTAAGTCTCCTCAGGAAGTAGAGTCGCTGTTGCGCCTTTTTAATGCACTTAGTTGTATTTTCTCGCCATTTCAAATCGTTAGTTAAATAGATTCCCAAAAACTTAAATTTATCTACCATTTCCACAGAAGTGCCATTTATGGTAAGAGGGGTTATTTCTGACTCATGTTTATGTGTGGTGTCTGTCTCTTATACACATCTAGATGTGTATAAGAGACACGAATTGATGTGGATCAAGACCAAGTGGGATTTCGGATTTCAGGTGTCCAAGTACGAGTCGCTCGAGACACTTCATAATGACGGAAGTTAGCGCAATAGGGCGATAATCGTTCAGTGATTCTATTGATGCTTTTTTCGGAATTGGAATTATAATGGATTTTTTGAACAATTCGGGAATTATATGTGATCTCAAGGACCAGTTGAATATAAGTGTGAATACGCTACAAAGCTGGCTACTGCATGTTTTTAATAGACGGGAGCTGACTCCGTCAGGTCCGGTGGCCTTTTTCGCGTTAAGTGACGCAAATTCTTTCCATGTATTGGCGCTCGTGATGACAAGGGGCGGTTCGGAATCACGCCTGGAGTCGAACCTGCTAAAAAAGGTATTTAATTCGTTAGGCAAATCAGCATCGTTAGTATAAGTTTTATTAGACTGAGGACGATAATTTGTCATGTTATTTAGGCCTCTCCATATTTCTGTGGAATTTTTTGACGAGACATCGCCCTCAATTCTTTTAGAATAATCAAGTTTGGCTCGTTTTATACCCTTTCTTAAATCATACCTTTCTTAAATCAATATAACATGAACAATACTAGGGTATACCAATATTATTGAAACTTTCCCACGACCAATTCCCATCTAGCAGCTTGACATAGGCCTACTTCCAACACGTTATCTTTCATTCCAGAGACGCGCGTAGAGTCGGAACTACTAACAGCTTTTTCCCTGGATGGTGGAGTGCTTTATCTTAGCGCTGCAATTGTGTTCTATTTTTAGTAATAACTCCGCCCACATTCCGTGTTGTCAGCTGCCTACGAAAACGTTCAACTCTATAGGGCTATTTATATTTGGTTTTCTGTTTTTCAGTGGGCGGGAGTACTGTTCTGCTTATAACCCGTAGCCACCCCCGCCCCCTACCCGCTAAATTTAAAGATATGTACATAATTAAATCAAAATGCTGAAATTATTCATTATAATAGCAAAAACATTGGGGGTGGGGGAAATATTGGGGAAATCTGGTAAACATTGAACAAAGACATAGGCATCGTCCAAATATTTGTGAGAGGTCTGAGTGTTTTCTGTTGGTATTCGCGTGTTATCTCTGATATTCAACCCCGTAATCAAGGGCGCTTTTTCAGAATCTCTGGATCAGCCCTTGCTGATATCAAAAGAAGTAGATATTCAGCTCCGTAATCAAGGGTGGGGGGGCATACAGGTTTGCAAGTTGAACTCCAACGGTGGCGGACTGAGGTAGGTGGACGTGGCCATTTTAATACTTGCGTCTCCCACCCTCGTTGGTCCCCAATGATCAACAAGTCTAGCAACATGGGCTGAGATGTACAGTATACATTTTTATTTCATCTCCATTGTTGACAAAATATTTAAACTAACATTGTTATATCATATCTTTTCTACCGCACTAACAATTTTAAATTTGATACTGATATCATTTCAACACTTCATCATCAATTGTTCACTTAACATGTTGAATTTGTTGAATTGATTGTTAATTTGTTGAGGTATACACTATTGGTTCCCAAGCTGATGAGTGCACAATGCATACTTGCATAACGTATAGCATGTTTCGTATGCAGGTGATCCCAACCAAAAGTACCTCCTTAACAAAATAGAGGATCGAAACAGCTAATGCATCAGTAAACTGCTGTAGGGCCGGGCATAGGCCCTGTATAAAAGTCAATACTTTGGGAAAAAAAATCTTTAAAAATTCAATGGCGATGCTTTAGCTGTCCTTGGGGTTCAAGTTATTCACTGTTAGGTTATCTGTTTCAGAATATTTATTATCATAATGTATTTGTATAGCCTCTCTGACAGCAGTATACAGTATTGCCGTTTGTTGGATAAAAGCCTCAGATTCGACAACGTCTGCTTCCTGGTGAGTATAATCATATGGAGGTATGATCCGGCCACATAACAGCCGAATGACAAGGCCCCCCAAAAGCTTCAATTATAATATAACATTTTTTAAAATTATTCATATTTTATGCATTCACTCATGAATAAAGATTGAATAGCAGTCCAAGTGGGTCGTTTCGTTATCATACTTTTGTCTGCAGCAGCAGTCTGGCAGGTCAAACAATGACCGATTTTGTCGGCACTAGGGGAGCCCCGGTTCCTGGATCAAGGGGCCGGGCCCCAACCTCTTCTGCTGATAGCATTACCGTACTCTAACAGAGCCTTGTCATTACGTTCTCTGTAGATGACATCCAATAGTCAATTAAAACAATGTAACCCTTAGGTTTTTAGTTCACAAATGTTGTCCTATGTGAAATCATTTTATACGGTATACAATATCAATGCCCAAACGAAGTGTTCCACGGTACAAACTGACATTTAAAGTTCGAAATAAGGAAGTAATAGGCTACCGGTACCCAACTTCTTACAGAATTCGAATCAAATTGTAGTACAGTAATTGCAGGTTACCGTACTGATATTCCACTGTAAGTAGGCCCCCTCGACCAGCACTTTTCTGACACTATGCAAGGGGCCCAGTCTTCCCCTGAACCCGAGGCTTCGGTCTGTACTTGCTTTGATAGCAAACATTTATACAATGTTGAGGTGTTTTCATATTCTGCAAGTTGAAATTCAATTGCCATCATCGCCCACCGATGCCAGTCAACAAGGATCATGATGAAAGATCAAGTACTAAACAGTGCATTTTATTTCAAGCGTTTTTTGAGGGACCAATAACATTCACGCATTTCACAAATATGACTCTTGTATCACGGGCGGATCGAGTAGGTGGAAATGTGCCCCTGTTTTGCTGCTTTTAAAAATTTCAATGCATATATTCATATGTTGTGCTCCTCAATTATCTATTCTGAAAAAAAAAAACTGTTGTACGCCCCTCCCCCTCCCGTTCTTTAGCTCTTTTACACTAGTCACGATTACGACACGACATATCATCGCGTATTCTTTGACACAGCGCGAATCTGTATATCTTGTCGTTGTCGTGTCGTAATCGTGTCTAGTGTAAATGTCGCTTTAGTATATCTTCCATGCTATTACTGTACCACGAAATGCTTAGAACAGCCTACCATGGGCGGGAGATGTGGGGCAATCAGGGACTTGTGCAAGCACAGGAAACACAACATGTGTAGTTTTAT